TATATATATATATATATATATATATATATATATATATATATATATACATATATATATATATATATATGTATATATATATCTAGAATGTTTGTTGGGAAAGTTTACAACAAAATGACAAGGCCCAGTATACTGTTTGTCGTCACCTTGGATACTACGATGTACACTTTCTTGTTAATATATCCACTCCAACGGATGCCAAAAATGCAACATTTTCTGGAAGTATAAACTGTAATAGTGGAGACAAATACTTATCCCAGTGTTCAATTACTGCTTCGGCCAGCGAAAGTTGTTCTGAGTTATCATACATACAGTGTAAGTGTGGCAAGATGAAACGAATAGAATGCAGAGATAAAAGAAAGGAAGAAAGAATATAAAAATAAATAAAAAATAAATAATTAGAAGAACAATGAAAGAACGACCTCATTGGGGTCAATGTGATCGCTTAATGGTTAACTTTTTATTTTAATATTATAGGTTGTGACCACACGCATTATAGCCATGTAAATTATAAACCACTATTACAAGATGAACAACGATTTCCTGATTCATCATTTAGTGCTTCTGCTTCTTCATCAGGTCACAATGCTTCTGATGCAAGAATATCTAGTGGTAGTTCTTGGTGTGCTCCTATCTCAAATGACACACATTATCTTCAAGTGGACTTAGAAAGACTGTATGAGATCTCTTATCTCGTAACATATGGTGACAGTACCGGCCCAAAATGGGTGGCCAAGTATAACCTGAATTACACCTTTGATTTGGTGAACTGGAAAACGCTAAGCCGGGTGAGAAAAAATAATATCACTAACAATAATAATGTCATAGCTTGTACTTATTTAGCCTATTGTTGTGACTTCTCTTTGTTCACGATGCATCTCTCACTTTTCTTGTTTGTAGATACTTCGAGGAAACAAGAATGCTTACGATTATGCAGCTCGGGAACGTGTTCATGTTGGTACAATTAGAGCTTTACGATTCATTCCATTGACATACGTAGGTCAACCGTGTATGAGAGTTGAGATTTGGGGTGGAAGTAAGTAACTGTACATTATTTTCTCTTTTGAAATTATGAACTGTACAGCCGTTATTTCCTAATTGGATGAAATCAGAAAATAGGGAACACTTCATTACCACTGCCATGCAGGAAGTTTGTTGTCACCTGGGTTTGTTGGTGTGTGTCTATTTGGCAGCAGGATAACTATACTACAGGATAACATTGGCTGTAGCTCGGACAGTAGTAGAGAGACATATCGATCAAATTTTAGCTGAATTTAGATTTAAATTGATCAGATATTTCACAAAAGATTATCCTCTTTCCGGGCTTAAATTATGCATGTAGGCTATAATTTATGCACAATACTTGTTGAAGCAAGTGGCAGTATACATGCAGTCTCACCATATTTTTTTGTATTAAAGTCAGTATTTTCCCTTTATCTTCTGTTTTTATTGTTATGTTACATCCTAGTTTCACAATTATGTAATTATTGATTACACATTAACAATCATAACTTGTACTTTTTCCCTATATATAGCTGTCTTACCAGACAAACCTACAAACCTTGCCGTCACTAACTTCACGCCTAGAAGTGTTGAAATATCTTGGGCAGATCCCAAAAATCCAGGATTATATTGGCTTTCACACTTTTCCATTAATCTGAAGAAAGAAAACTCTCTAATCCTGAATATTATATACAACAGAAATGCCACAGAAAAAGTGAATGAATACGAAATAAATAATCTCACCCCAGATACTACATATGAAATATCTGTCGCTGCTGGAAATGATTGTTACGGTTTTGGTGAAGAGAGTATTATTTCGTTCTCAACATCTGAAGGTGAGTGTTAAAAAAAATGTGTTAAAATGGGTTGGATCAATATTGTGCTGAAAATGTTTTAAAATTTGAATGTCTGTTCATGGTCGTTTCCCAGTTTTTATTTTCTTTATATTCGAAATCGTTTTTTTGAGTAAATAAATGTAAACCCCGATGGAATTGACATTCACGACTAAACGTTTCGATACTCCATTGCTAGCGTCTTAATCCACATCTTCATCTCTTTTTCACGACTATTTATTACATATTTCAAATTATATTTTGTACTCTTTCCCAAAGCTGCATTACCAGACAAACCTGCAATCCTCAACGTCACTAACATCACGTCTACAAGTGCTGAAATATCTTGGGCAGATCCTAGAGATCCAGGAAGATTTGGTTTTTCACGCTTTCGAATTAAATTGAAGAAAGAGGACTCTCTAATCCTGAACATTACCACAGGAAAAGTGAAAGAATATAAAATAAATAATCTCACTCCGTATACTACATATGAAATATCTGTAGCTGCTGGAAATGATCATGGTTTTGGTAAAGAGAGTAATACTTCGTTCTCAACTACATCTGAAAGTGAGTATTAAAAGATGAATGTTACATAGGCATAGAATGTGTTCAATTTGCAATTTTGTGCTTATTATTTCGAAACATTAACTGTTGTTGCCAGAGAATTTACAAATGCCAAAATTTGATATTTGTAAATGATTCATTCGAAAAATTTGACAAAATCTCTGCAAAATCTCGCACACTGTCATTGTAAATCTTAATATCTGTAAACTTGCACGTTTACAGATATTTTGGAATCTTTCAGTGAAATGTTTGTAAATTTCAGACATTTCACACCAGAAGAAAACACAGATTGTATAAAAAATATTTGGATGCCTTTTTATAGTCGTTTTCCAGTTTGTTTATATTCGAAATATAGTTGCCAACAGCGAAAAAAAAACAAGCAAATAACGAAACTTGCTCTGAACTTACAGTGCTATATCAGCTATTAATTTTAATTCTCTTACAACGTCCCCTATATTTATTTGATATAAGAAATGTGACAATATTTACCATCTTTTGTAGTCCAGCGGAAAAGTAAAAAATCATGCACTTTGTGAAGAAAGCACCCAATTCACAGGAAGTGTAGACTTTCACATGATAATGAATCTTAGATATGGAGGCATCATCAAAATTGATGTGGACGGCTTAAAATTTAGGATTTCTTATATTCTCTTATTAAACCCTATTACTGTTTAAAATTGTGAAATTGCAGGTTCACATATAGCAAAAATGATTTGCATGATTAGAAAGCTTACAAAAAACTACATATAAGACTTTTAAACGGCTGATCGAGTTTCCAAGCGGTTTTCCAGTTATTGCTATTTAAAAACGTGATAAATAAGCAAACATCCCGCCAAAGTCCTGGACACTAGCCCTGAAACATATTTTCAACCGCTCATAACTCCAGAGGAGTTGGTAAATCAAAGTAACTGCTTAAATGTCTTATATGCAGTTTTTTGTAAGCTTTCTAATGACGCATGTCATTTTTGCTATATGTGAACCTGCAATTTCACAATTTTTAATAGTATAAGAGATTAATAAGAGAATTAGAAATCCTAAATTTTAAGCCGTCAGCATCAATTTTGGTGATGCCTCCATATCTAAGATTCATTATCATGTTAAAGTCTACACTTCCTGTGAATTTGGTGCTTTCTTCACAAAGTGCATGATTTTCTCAAATATCTGTGCATATCCGCTGGACTATTGCCTTGCTACATTAGTTTAAGTGAATAAATATAATCCTCGACCAAATTGCCATTCACGACCACACGTTCTTAATCTCCATCTCCATCTATTTCTCACTATTTATCACACATTTCAAATCATATTTCAGTGTACTTTCCCTCAGCTGCATTACCAGAGAAACCTACAAACGTCACCGTCGCTAACATCACATCTAGAAGTGCTGAAATATCTTGGCTAGATCCTAAAGATCCAGGAAGATATGGTCTTTCACGGTTTTGGATTAACCTGCAGAAAGAAAACTCTCTAATTCGGAACATAACGACAGGAAAAGTGAATGAATATAAAATAAATAATCTCACTCCGTATACTACATATGAAATATCTGTAGCTGCTGGAAATGATTATGGTTTTGGTGAAGAGAGTAATTTTACTTCGTTCTCAACATCCGAAGGTGAGTGTTAAAAGATGGGCATTACAAAATGGGTATTGTGCTAAAACATTTTAAACTTTGAAATTAATGTCTTTTACTGTAACAGCAGTTTTCCAAACATTGTTGAAACATTGTTGCCAACAGCAAAAACGCACAGAACACACCAGTCACTTTAAATATATGTTAAATTTCATCTTCATGCATCTGTCTCATTCAAAAGGTCCTTGTGCGAGTGAGAACGTTGGCACGCTCGAGGCATATGGAATTTTCATGTGGCCAGACACTCGTGTTGGGCATCGTTCTACACTTGCTTGCCCTTACAACAATGAGTCGATTGCGACCCGTGAGTGTTGGCATACAACCCAAACAGACAGTGGAAGTGTTTGGGGTCCAACTGATGTCACACAATGCGAATATAAAGACAAACGGAGCAAAGGTCTTTTTCTATTGGTGCAGGTAATTTATTACAAGGAAGAGAGCATGAATGTTTTGAAGGCCCATTTACGGTTGTAATTATTCTACGAAATTATTTTTTTCTTCTGATGGATGTGAACGAATGGATAAGTTTTGGGTTCATATGCTAAGAACATTCATAACTCATATAGTCGTCGACAATCGCAGCAAAAATTGCAAGTGTAAATGGGTCTTAAAGCTTAAGCGATCGTGATGCATTCACACTAGTGATGGGCGATACCAGCTTTTTTGGTTTCGATACGATACCAGTCCGATACCGATACCAAAATCGATACCGATACTCAATTTTTTCCATTTATTAAAATAACTTTTAAAACACGAACATTATAAATGTTTAAAACAAGTCAAAAAATACTCTAACTGGAGTACCTGGGCCAAATAATCGAACATAACATTTGCATTATTATGATTTTAAATCAAAACACCAATGTTTTCCTCAAATATATTGCTAATTAGCTACATGTTTTTGTTTAAGAACAGCATCATGTCAACATTTTTTGCCTTCAGCGGCCTTCAGTCTGTTGCCTTCATGAAACATTAGACAGATTTAGAAAAGACGACGCGACCTCAAAGACGACGTGAAAATGGCGTCAAAATGGTGTGGCACATCCATATATGGACAGAACACGCAATTTTCATGTCGTCTTTGAGGTCGCGTCGTCTTTTCTAAATCTGTCTATTAATCTTCTATTAAGTGATTGGTCAGGAATACTGACCAAAAACATCGCATGCTCAAGTGGTATCGAATTACCGATACTTTTTGCGAGTATCGAAAGTATCGATACTTTTGTAAGTATCGATGATTTCGATACTTTTTCGATAGTATCGCCCATCACTAATTCACACCCTATGGGCGCTTTCCATTAACACGGCCAGACCGGTCAGAACGGTCAAATTGTTGAATGGAACACAAAACGTTTGGGCTTCGGACCTATCTGACCGGAAAATCTAGATAAAATTAGGATGACGTCCATTTTCGCTAGATATTTGAGAAACATAGACCAGATCTTTCCATTGATACGGAGACAAAAATTCAGGTCTGACCGGTCAGGCCATTAAATGGAAAGCGCCCTATGCTAATGCTGTGATTAAACGCATGACTGAAAGGCGGTCGTGGTGGTCGCCTGTGTAAACTTTGTTTGTTTTACTGTGAGGTAATAGTGGAATAATCACTTGGTCGACACCGAGTGAAAAATTAAATCCACGATAAGTTCAATATTTGAAACTTCATGTATATTTCAGAAAGAAGTGAATGTTAGCAATGTGGCGGAAACTACCCAAGAGATCAAAAGCTTGTCTTCTGACGGTCAAACTTTGGAAGCTGGAGACATTAGCAATATCGCTACAGTATTAGAGAAAATTGTCTCAGTGAAACAGAAAGCCAATGAGGTTGGTTTGATACTGAAATACTGATACTGAAAATCAAGTGGAATTATATAGCCAGAGTAAATAGACCATTTCACGGTTTTGGAAAAACCGTGAAAAGGTTTATTATCTGATGCGTTATGTCATCAGCCAGAGTGGCAACACTTGTCAAATTGGTAGTCGAAAAGAGTAATGAGGATGAAGCTTTTTCTTTTCCCCTTGATGACTAAGATCGTTCAGAGTAAGTTCATCACTTGGCAGATAGAAAGTTTATTCTTTATAGATTGTTGGAGGAGGATAACGCAGAAATATAAGGAAGATATTTCTTTCATCACCATTTATTTATCTTTGTGTATGTTTATCAAGATTTCTGAAGATTTCTTCGCCACAATAGACAATGTACTGGATGCCAGAACAAAGAATGTTTTAAGAAGTCAGCAGAACACGAACTCTTCTTCAAGGTATATAGGAAAAGATATTCAAAGACGATAATGCACTAAAACTCATGTCCCCATATGTTTTCATCTGTGTGTGTGTTTGTGTGTATGCCTGTCAGAACGAGAACCCAAAAAATACTTGACATATTAATACGAAATTTTGTGGGCCTAATGGCCATAATCCAGCGACATATTTTTTCCGCTCAAGTCAGAGTGAACTAAACTACATGTTAGTTACAAGGAAACCAAGCCACTATAACTAAAAAAACCTTGTAAACTCGCGCAGGGATATAAGACTATAACTAGCAGGGCGTTCCACTATTCGCCCAGATCATTTTGCATATCTTCCAAATCCGATCTGAGAATTGGGGATTTTATGTATTTCATCCAACGTCTTTCTTTTTACAGGATTTTAAAAGCTATAGATAACTTTGCTGAAATATTAGTCGTCAATTCTGGAAAAAAAATTGAAACAGTGAATAGACACTTTGCCATTACTTTACAAGTTGTCCAACCGCAAACTTTTACTGGGCTAACATTTTCCGCGATCGTCGGAAAATCCCATGAATTGAAGAAAAATAGCATTTCAACCAAATCTACTGACAGCGTTCCAACCGGTTCATCTGCCTCCATTAGTATTCCTCGAACAATATTCAACGAATCAACCATTAGGAACAGCTCCACACAGGAATCAGTCATATTCGCCCTCTACAAGGAAACGAAATTCTTCGCCGTTTCCTTGGTCGATACTAGTGAGAACTCAAGACGTTTGAATAGTTTTGTAATAGCTGGAAGTATTAAGGGATTACCAATTGCAAATTTGAGCAAGCCTGTTAAGATCGCTCTGCGGAGTATTGCGCGAGGAGACACGAACAGCGCTTTGTGTTCATACTGGGACTTTGGCCGTGGAAATTGGTCACAAGAAGGTTGTAGATTTGAACGCGTTCTTAGAGATGGCAGGATCCTATGTAACTGTGATCATCTTACCAACTTTGCAATATTGATGGTAAGTTTATTAATTTATTCTTCATAAATAAATTTTGTTCACTTGACGACCAGAGAAATACACGATGTTCTGGATTCAGGTTCGTACGACATCTTCACTGACAACGGAAGTTTCTACGATATAAAGTGCCGCCATTTTTGCACGTCGACCAAGGAAATGTCTTAAATTTCTAGAAATAACCTTTCGTGCAGAACGTTGATCTGGTTCAAAATTGATTTTTTTTAGGATATTAATCCAGGGGTGACCACAAAACATGACAAAATACTTGGTGTAATTAGTTACGTCGGATGTGCGCTCTCATTGGTCGGACAGATTTTGACAATCATTACAATACTGATATTAAGGTAAGTAACACAAACTGCATGTATATGCATGGTATTGCATGGCGGCAATGCAGCAGTTGTTTCTTAACCAAAACCAAACCAAACAGGGGCGTAAGTCTCGTGTTCGACCCCTGACATGACAAAAAATATTTATTATTTTTCTTCAGAATATGTATGTTTTTCAAAAAAATTTAATACACCGTTGATTAAATAGGTTTGCATTTACGCACGTGGATAAGCAACGATACCGTCGATGACAAAAATTTTGACGACTTTTTTTAACTTCGCTATTCTCGGCGGTGTAGATAGCTGGACCGAACCAGTACCCTCGCCACGTGTCAGTTTGGAATATGATGTGGAAAGTTGTACACTTTGGTCTTGAAATAAGTTAAAGGTTTCTGCAGCCTGGCGGCTCATCTCCATGGCCATTCCAAAAACTTTCAATGAATTAACTAGAGCTCTAAACTTTTGTTTTCATACAATAACTGGCAGATTCTTACATTTTAGGGAACAGCGAAGCAAAATTCCAGGCCAGATTTTGTTGAACTTCTGTATTGCTTTGTCATTATCGTTAATTGTATTCGTGGCTGCTGCTGAGAGATCAAAGACGTCGTCATTAGTTGGCTGTAGGATAGCGGCGATTTCCCTACATTATTTCTTATTGGCGGCATTTTTTTGGATGGCAACAGAAGCATTCAATATGTACCTGGCTTTTGTCAAAGTCTTTCCAAGTTCGAACCATTCCAAATTTATGATGAAGTGCTGCCTATTTGCTTGGGGTAAGGACTTGTAACTTTACACGGCTAAAAACGATCAGGTTGTTGCAATATTGATGAAAACAGGATTGAACAATGTCCACATTGTTCACAGTTGTTAACAATATTGAACAATATTGTTACGCCCGATTCAGGCTCAACAATATTTTTCAATAGCTGGAATTACCCATTACTAATTTTAAATAAGTTCCAAAAAATTGAAAGTAACTTTTTAACTAGTTACATAAATCGTGAGGTAACTTTGTAACGGCAACTATAGTTACATTTTTTATGTGTAACTTTTATCGATAACTTAGTTCATTTTTTTCAGCATGTAACTATATAACTGTAACTAGTTCTGAAAAATAAGTAACTTTTAGAGCACTGTCTAGTTCGGAAATGTATAAACGAACTATATGATTCCTGACTGATTTAGTGATTATGCCACATTTTAGGCTTACCTGTGATAATAGTAGCAATAACAATGATATCTGCTCTGGACAACTATGGCGGCAATAGATAGTAAGTAGACTTTCGTTTAAACTGTTTGTTAGAATTTTGCATCAAGGCCCATTTATAACTCATCTCAGAAAATTTGTCTCTCTTAAGGAAGGGGCTGATTTTATACCTTGGGAATTACTTAAAAAGTAGTCAAACTACATTGCCTTTGTCATTCTGTTATTCCATTTTCCTTCTAAATATCTATATCAAAAAATAACATGCAGGCATTATAGGCACGATGATTTCGTTCATCATGGTTCATATCTCATCATATAAGCGTGATAACTCAAAATAGAAATTTCTGAAAGAATGGTTATGGCAGAAATTTCTCAATAATGCGTTATGCCAGCTTCGTTTGTTATAAAGGTCCAGACACTGAGACACACCGGACGCGATTCAACAACGCGACGGGATTTTTAAGTTCTTGAAAGTTAATAAAACAGCCAATGAGAGCAAATGTTAAAATATATGTAGACCAAATAACTCAAAATGTTCTAACGCTTCTAAATATTTGGAAAATTTAAGCTAGGATCAAAGTTATCGTTCAGTAAAAATCGAAAAATCGCGTCGCGTTGTCGAATCGCGTCCGGTGTGTATGGACCTTAATAAACACGTATATGTATTGTGGGTATCTGGAAACCTAATTGAAGAAATGTGTATTTCTTTCAGTTGTCGACTACACGGCGTACCATTCATTGTGGCATTTTTCACTCCAGTTACTTTAATCATCCTTGGTAATATCGTGGCTTTCTGCTTCATTATCAGATCATTACTTACTTCAGGTGCCAAAGTTACCTCTATCCAAAAAGTATCGGGTTATCAACAAGCTCGGCGAGCGCTTGCGATTATGGTACTGCTTGGTTTAACCTGGCTCTTTGGCATTCTTGCGATTGGCGACGCTAAACTAGCATTTCAATATTTGTTCTGCATTTCTAACACCCTGCAAGGACTTTTTGTATTCATATTGTTTGGCATTCTACCAGCTGAAACAAGACGACAACTGCGAAATCTTTTTGGAAAAAAGAACAACGGAAACGCTTCGTCCAACAATGTACGGAAAATCCGTATATATCCCCGGGTACTATAACGTCTAATTTCATACAAACAACTTGGCTCCATCCAGTAATGCATCGCCTGCCGTCGTCAATACAATTGAGTTAAAATTTCTAAGTTCGAGCAACGATGGTTTTCGTGTTGAACGCGACAATTTGCAAACGGCCAACAACGGATCTTAAATTATCCGATGTAATGTTTTCAAATCCGTACGTGACATGCTACAGTGTAAGATAAGATATCCAAATAACCATTGGAATTAACTCAAAAAGTGACTTCTAAAATATAATTATAAGCACACAATTTTACTTAGGCTACGCTACTAGGGTCGCTGCACACAGGTGATTGAACGCTTTTCTGGGCTGAGAATATAGTAAGGACTTAGCCTGCGAACAGGCTCTGAAGCTGAATTGAGAGCCTGCATTGATGACTAATGAATTTGAATATCTGCCCCGTAACGTTCGTTTTTCCAAATATGGAATGTCTATCCTTATATGGTGTTGTTTACAACTTTCATGCAAACTAAATTTAGACCGTTCGAAATATAAGATATTCAAGCAAAAGTTTAAATGTTTTAAATACTGTTTTCTCAAAAGAGAACATTTTGTGCTTTAAGATAAGATGGCCAAGACCAATTTGATCAGTTAATGTGTTTTTTTATGCATAGTGCTTCAGCAGTTGACATATATAGAGCTCAGCGGAAACATATAAATTATAGCATCTGACCCCTTTGCCGCCTGCGCTCCTTCGCCCAGCGGCTACGCTCGTGTTCCAAGATCCGCCATGTAAAGTGTAGTGAAATGTATCTCATCGTAATATTAAATCCTAAGAAAACTAAAGCCTCTGCGGAGGAGAGAGCATCTGACCAATGAGAATTTCGCGTCACGATTTGAGACACAGATATTCAAATTCATTAGTCATCGATGCAGGCTCTTGATCTGAAATGTAGATTTGTATATATTTGACATTTTGATTTATATGTAATTTTTTTCCAATTATATATATATGTAATCTTTTTTGATGATTTATAATTCAATGACAATGTATTAAGTTAATTTTCAGTGGCAACTAATTTGTATTTTATGGTCATCTACATTTAACTTGTTAATAAATTTATTATCTAATTGATAATTTAATTATCTAATTTACTATTTACTTTCGTTATACTTTTTTTATTTTCACTCTCCCCCTTAGGACTAGATTGTTTCAATCCTAGTCACAGTTCGAACCAAATCAAAAGTTTTGTTCTAACCCGATTGAAACAAATATTTTTCAACCTCTATCTTGCAACCTCTGGAATCAGAGAAGAGGGTCTTCCTAGTATATAATAAATATCAAGATATGTATTCTCAACGTGCTGTTCAACTTCGATTAAGAACTGTTGAAATATATTGCGATTTTTGCTGTGAAGATCTCGTTTTCTCAAAGGTATGTTTTGATAACCTTTTTGTTTAGTAATTTAATAAAAGAAGTCTTGAATAATTTTGTATATATATATATATATATATTCCCATTTGTATTTATGCATGTTTTGGGTCAATGAACATGACCTTCAAATTCAATTAAGTCCAGGGTGCATTCGGTGTAAACTTCACGCCGAAGATAATCTGAGGTAGTGTTGCCGTGCGCCAAGTGAGGTCAACTTGTGTGCCGGCTGATCGTGGGCACCGTGATTTTTCAGTAATAGTTAGTTTTTCAAAATTAAAACTTGCTAAAAAGGCGTGTAGTTGATGAATAAGATGTTTTGCTGATGAACAATGATGAGTGCTGTTACTGTTGTATCACAAGTTATAACCACCATTTAGTAATATTACACTGACCAGGAACACAAATTTCTCGAGTCCCTAAACTTAAAGAATTATAGAGGCCAATCCAATCACCAGGAGATTATTAATACTCAAAGTCTCGCTTAAACATTTGATGCTGCGCCAACCACCAAAACTCAAAACTTGTGCGCCAACGTCGATGTGATTGTGCGCCAACAATTCAAAACTCACGCCGAAGATCTTCCACAAAGCGTTCATGGAATGCACTCTGGAATTAAGTGGCATTGAAATATTCAGTTCTACTTCTAAGTAAATTGTACTTTTTACAAGGAAACTACAATAAAATCACATGAATAAATTCAGGAATGTAATACTCTTTAAAACATGAATTTACTCCATAAAACCGAAGAGTTTATATCGCGGTTTGAAAATGAGCTATTTTTGCTAATAATTATATTCTATTAGTATTCAGTCAAGTTTGATGAACATTTCAAAATGTTTTACGAAGCGTCTAAGGCTAAATTCACATATTTACTGTATATCAAACTTTATAGAAAGCACAATAACGTACTGTAGTGTACTTACATTATATATTTCGAAAATTCTCACTCCTTAAAAATCCGCCATCTTTGTTTGGAGCGTCGTATTTCTTTTCGTATATTTTTTCGAAATCGTTCAGGTTTGTCGCGCATTTTTTAGGTACAAGGCCGCTCGGGAGTTTTGTTATCCTCAAAAACAGGAAATTGCATTTTTTTAGCATTTTTTATCTTTTATTAAAAAATAAACCTATTTCTAAAAGTTTTAGAGATTTCAAATAAGGCAAAAACAAGGTATGTTTTAATATATACACTACACATTTTGTACTTGACCAAAAAATTTCAATATTTCCCGGGATGGAATTTAAACCTGAATAACCTCCACCAAAGTAAATCCCATTAGCACAATGAATCTGATTGATGTAAGAGCATAACTTTGTCTGTGAATTGACAGAATCGTTGAATTTTTGGAAGTGTTATCTATTTTTATACATGTAAGAAAACGAATTAGGAATTTTTGGGAAAACTAAGGATATCTACATTTTGTAATTTGTACTAGGAATTCTAGGATTTGTTTTAGAACAACTGGCACTGATCTGTATAGATTTACTGAAATAACAAATAATACTAATAATGGCGAACGAAGGGGAAAAGGTCCAACACTTTTGTTCAAGAGAAGGCTGTGAAAATCAATCGAAACTGCAATGCCCAACGTGTTTAAAACAAGGCATAGAAGGCAGCTACTTCTGCTCACAGGTGAGGCCTCTTTCCTTGTAATTTACGATTTTCAATAGTAAAATAATTTCTTGCTGTTTTTATGCTGACTTGCTGGAAATTGTAAAAAATACATACTGTTGATATTTCAAGTGTAATTTTTCATAGGATTGTTTTAAAAATGTGTGGAATGATCACAAAAAGAAACACAAAAAATCAGGTACTCATCGCTTGATATACTGTCATATACAGCCTTTTTTAGCTTTTTGTTTACAAAATTTAATATTTTAATTATACTGCAATACCTTACGTGGCCTGATAGGAAATGTTCCAATTCCTTATAGAAGCCTTTAGGCACCTATAGAGCTCTATAGGTTTATAAGCATCCCTATAGGTCACCTATAGAAAATCTTCCAATTGCCTATAAAAACCTAGAGGTTTCCTATTGGGTTTCATATGACATCACAATAGTGATGGGGGGTCAACTCTTAGACAAACACAGTTATCAGAGTGAGTCGATTGTTCGTTTTATGTATTAGCCTTGTGTTTGGTAGCAAATACATCACTTCATAATGCTGTAGTGAAACCCGAGAATAGGAACCGTTGGCTTATAGACTTTTTTGTTAGGGAATGCACCCATTAATTAGGGTCACATCCATTTTCAAGGGTTAATGAATGAATTTTGTTTAGAAATTATTTATAGGGATGAGCCAATTAATCGGTAAATAATCGGCAAAGCAGATTTATCAGCCGTTTTTTAAATAATCGGTAATCGGCCGATTATTGCTTGATAATCGGCAAATAATCGGCCAGAAGACTTTTTCTGCAGCTGCCAAGCACATGCTAAAATACTGAATACAAGCGAAAAGATTTTCACATTTCGTTGCAAAACCCATGTCTTTTGTCTCGAGCGAAGTGAAGCTGGGAACAGTTCCACTGACAATATCCTGTTTTACACCATAATCTGCCAAAACTAAACTTTGACTATTGACATGCAAGATTGAAGCTGTTTTCAATTGCACATAATGTGTATTGTAAACAATAAAACTGCATTTGCAACTTCATTGTTGGTCAATCTTGTGATTTTTCGCTTGCTTTTTAAAATAATCGGCGGGTACCGATTAATTGTCCAATTAGTTACGATAATCGGCTTATAAACAATTGGCCTCAGTAATCGGCAATTTTCCTTATCGGCTCATCCCTAATTATTTAAGTCTAATGCACAATTTTACAAAAACGAGATATTTTACTTAGCCATAAAAATTCATGTCAATACATTTCAAGGAAACAAAAGTTCATCTGGCAGATATGACCCATGGCCCGGATATAGATTTAGTGGTCAATTACGACCAGCAAGACAGGTATATAATATTTTAATATCAGTCTACAGCCTACTTAGAGGCAAATATTTTGTAAATATAACTAATCCATTCAGTTGCAATACATCCCTCATCTACAATAATTGATACGAAATGTTACCTTAATGTTGTCTGATAACCTTTCATAGAGTTCACAAAGAGAAGTTCCTGCTCATATAGAGTATCCGGATTACGCTGAAACAGGTTTGTAGTGGTAGCACACCATTTCAGAAAATATTCAGAATTCAAAGAAGATCTTGAATTTTCGAATTCAAGGACTGTCAAGCTTTGAGTGAACCCTTTTGGCAGTAGTTATTGACACATAACTTCTCCACCCTCCAAGGAAATCTCAAATAACTTGTCTTCTACTCATACCTATCTGACTTTTGCAAGTATGACATCATTGAATATTCTCAAATTAGGGAGCCCTATCAGCGAGTTAGAACTTCGGGGAAACACTATGATTAAAATTTTGAATGACGAGGAGATCAAAGGAATGAGTCTTGCATGTAAGGTAAGTTTACTGCGGTTCACATCAGTAGCTTTAAGGTGCTTGCAGAAAATGTAAAAAAATATTGTTAGGTTATTAAAGATTTGGAACTTGAACTATGGCTGGGCCAAACAACCTATGGTTGACAGACATCTTTCCCTTACACAATCTCCCCTTGCCCTTGGCGAGTAAAATCATCTGGTATTAGACAGAGTAGAATAATAAAGTACGATGCATTGGGGCACAATGACTCAATGAGTACACCAGTTATTCAGTTAAGCTGCAATGCACATGCAATGTCCCTTCTTTTATTATATAAAACAAACTTACAGTTGGGTCGTGAAGTTCTTGATGAAGCAGCCAAAGTGGTGAAAGTTGGTGTCACAACAGATGAAATTGACAGAGTTGTTCATGAGGTTGGATTTGAATAATTTTGACAATCAACATATTTAAAGTAAAAAGCAAATTCCGAAAAGACAAGACATCTTGGGAATTCAATAATATATGAGTCAAAACACGCAGGTTGAGACTGTACATTGTCGGCTGTTCATGGTTTTTTCAACATATTTTATTAGCAGACTAATTACATGCAGTGATAAGGGCGTGTTCAAAAAAAGGTCCAGGCACACCGGACACGATTCGACAACGCGACGCAATTTTTTAGTTTTTGAAAGTTTAATAAAACAGCCAATGGCAATGAGAGCAAATTTTTGAAAGATATATGTAGATTGTACACCAAATAACTCAATATGTTATAGCGCTTCTAAATATTTGGAAAATTTAAACTAGGATCAAAGTTATCGGTCACACAAGGTCCACACAGACCGGACGCGATTCGACAACGCGACGCGAATTTTCAGTTTTCAAAAACAAATAAAACCGTCAACGGATAAAAATTTTACAAGATATGCAGACCAAATAGCTAAAATTGTTTAAAAAGTGGTTCCGAATATTTGAAAAATATTAAAGTTACTTGTCATTGAAAACTGAAAATTGCTAAATCGCGTCCGGTCTGTATACCTGGTCTGTATGGGCCTGTTATGACTCCCGGTTTCCGAGAAAGCTCACCTGGGATGAATTATTTCTGTGTTCACAGGCTTGTCTCAAAAGGGATTGTTATCCATCACCATTGAATTATCATGGCTTCCCTAAATCCTGTTGTACGTAAGTATCAAGTATGCAAAGCAGGCATGCTACCCCGGAAAATTCAATTTAATCTGTACATGTACAAACTTTCGTATTAATGGTACTCTTTTTGAAACATTCTTAGGTCAGTCAATGAAGTAATATGTCATGGCATACCAGATAAACGGGCGTTGGAAAATGGCGACATTTTAAACAGTACAGAATCTCTAATAATTTATCTTATATTGATTGTTGTAAAATTTTGATAAGTTCTCAAATTTAGTTTATAACGCGATTGTTTTCTGCAGTTGATGTAACAGTGTATCATAATGGTTTCCATGGCGACCTGAACGAGACATTTCTTGTTGGTGATGTTGACGAAGAAAGTAAAAAGCTGGTCAAGATTACACACGAATGTCTTGACGAGGCTATCAAGATAGGTAAGGTTTGACACATATAAAAGTCTTTCTCTCTTGGATTTGTTTTCAACTTAATAAAATCCGACTGCCCACAGAAAATCCGCAGAATATGGTAGACTTGGTAGTCCTGTTAGAGTTGCATGTAACTGAATGGACCATTTGCATTATAGACTAAATTTTGATCTAAACAAGTCTAGACAAAAATTTCATCACAATCACAAAATTAGTAATATTCCAAAGTTTCGTTGCGAAATGTTGATAATATAGCCTTGCGAAGTTTGCCGTTTTTAAGTCATTTTGTATTACAAACGGGAAATTGACAGCCCCAAATTATTGGTATGTCAATTTCCCCCGCGTAATGCAAAATGACTGAAAAACGGCAAACTTCGCAAGGCTATATTATTCGCATACAACATTTCACAACGAAACTTTGGAATATTACTAATTTTGTGATGCTCGTTCAAGCTGTGATGAAATTTTTGTCTAGACTTGTTTAGATCAAAATTTAGTCTATAACGCAAATGGTCCATCGAACTTCACATTTCAGGAATCAAACTGCAGTTCCTAGAAAGCGCATGCACAAATAACTATATAATAGCATTGGCAATATTGCTTGATCTATCAAAATTAAATTGCATGTTTTAGTAAAACCAGGTATCCGTTATCGAGAGGTTGGTAACGTGATTCAGAAACATGCGAACAACAATGGTTTGTCAGTTGTAAGAACATATTGTGGTCACGGAATCCACAGGTAATTTCTCTCCTTATCAACTTCAAAATGACCAATTTATTGGGTGATTGTGAAAAGCATATAATATTTATCTAATTGATGTAAAACTTTTTTTATTAGATTATTTCACACTGCACCCAATGTCCCACATTATTCAAGTAAGTATACAAAATAGCGTTTGACAATTCGAGATTCCCCTTATTACGTTTTCGTAGCGCTTTGCATTGTGGTTATAGTGGTATCACTGATAAAGATAGCGGCCTCGAATGAAAATATTGAATGTTTTCGCGAATATTTTGCTGTTGGCTATCGCGCACCTGACCCTAGCTTTTTTTAAAAGTTCAAAAGTTCTTGCACGGGTCAGGACAAAAAATAAGCCATCTTGAATATCAGTGATACCACTATAACCACAATGCAAAGCGCTACGAAAACGTAATAAGGGGAATCTCGAATTGTACAGATTTTCGTGCCAAAAACTATAATTTTAACATGGTTATGTGCCTGCCTTTAGAAAACAAAGCTGTCGGTGTTATGAAGAAAGGTCACGTGTTTACGATTGAACCAATGATAAATATGGGTAAATATCTTAATACCAGACATACTACTACAGCCCTGGAACATGCGCAAAAGAAGTGCACCATATACTACTAGTGTATTTTTGAATAAATACCAAGGCTTCGCACAGCGAATATAAAACGATGCCAAACTTTGTTTGGGCATCGCAGTTAATATATTTCTCAGAATTAGCAGTTATTGTAATTTTGTACTAAAAGGATGTGTGAAATGAAGAATATAGCTATTGGCTACAATTTCTTCAAAAAATTTACGAAATTCGCTACGAAACGACCGCCATTTTGTTTTGCGCAAGCAGTGTTTCCACCTTTCAAAACTGAAATTTCCTTCAAATTTTCAATAAGGAAATTTGCGAATCGATTTTTCCTGTCTTATTCGAACCCTTGACCTTTTTTTAAAGGTACATGGCGTGATGAGGTGTGGCCTGACAACTGGACCGCTGTGACACAGGTACGTGGCAAACTTGAAAGTCAATTTTTTTGTATTAGAATCTGCACCCCCATGTAACCCCAGAAAAAAACGAAAGTCAGCACCAACTAGCGCATACTGAAAATTAAATTGTATATAACTTGCAATGGTAGCACGAGGGTCAATTTCTCTAAATCAGCATCCCTTCCAAGATATGCCTGCGAGTATCTCGCATTAAAATATGACTGTACACAGCTGCTCACAAATGCATGAAAACCCCCCAAATATTACTAAAAAAAATTTGTTGTGTAGAAGTGTCAAGATCTTCTCGTATGTTCTTAAATAGGATGGTAAGCGTTCAGCTCAGTTTGAACAGACACTGCTGGTCACTGACACTGGATGTGATATTCTGACGAGGAGACTGGATGCTGATGGAGCACCTTACTTCGAAACACAGAGTTCAAATATTACATAGAGTGAATTATACATAAAGCTTATTGTAAAATTTACTCATTCTTTGACAAAAACCTGAAAATTATAAAAACCGGAGAAAGAACAAAATGGAGTGGAATAAAGGAAAACCCGTTTAAAACTTTGGCGTCTAAGAATATGGAATAGATATGATAGATTATGTTTGCTTAGTTTTATATTTTGGTAGGGGGCCATCATCACTTGTCAGAAAATATTTGAAAAATAAGGTTTCCAGGCGGGGTCCTGCATCTTCTTTGCTATAAAGCTAAGGGGGAGGGGACACAACCCCTGCGACCACAAGTAAATCCTTCCCTGCTAATTAGGTTACCACAATTTTCTTGCCTGTACACTACGAAAAACATGCTCATAATGAACATATTTATAATGAAGAAATACATTTTTATGCCTTACAACAAGATATTGCAACCCATACGAAACATTCCACATCATACAAGTTCAGTTGTTTATTTTTAAACTTTACGTAGACGACACACATTGGAACTACAACGAATGAGAAATATTAATTTTGACTTGAACGCCTCAACCTTTAAGATAACGGCATGGTTTACTATATAGAATATGTTTTTTCAATAATAAACATTTACTTACAAATATTTGGAGCTCTCAAAATTTGATCACAGTTCGTAAACTAGGGAGAAAAACAATTATTATGCATTGTACCATACAACTTGGTCCTGTGTTACTACAGGAGGGAACTGAAATTCACTGACATTATAAAAAGATTAGGGTCGTTATTTGGCAGTGGCCAAAAGCTATGTAGGGTGGGGAAACCCAGGGTGGTTTTTTCCATACCTATAAATCTACTAGGGGGTTTGGGGACAGTTCAAGATTACATTAACAGAAGCCTACCAATTCCTTGGATTATCTGTGAGGGAGAACTTTTAGAACTTACTTATTGCCAACAGGATGGTGCATTAGTTCAAAGGCATCATTAATTTTCTCCAGTGTCATGTTGGATGTGATAAATTCATCAACTTTCAATTTGCCTGCCATGTACTCATCCACTAGCTTAGGAACACCATCACGACTTTTCCAGCCTGGAAATAAATGCACACGAGGATGGGCAAGTGCATTTTGACGACGAATCATGGCATGCCTATGCTTCACCGAGCCGAGCCTAGCCCTCGGCTCGGTGAAGTCATAATAAAAATTTGATAGGAGTGGAACTTTGCAAATTGAGAGTTTTAACACATTTTATAGACGATTTCGACGACTGGCAATGCACCAATAGCCATTTCACTGTCTACTATACAAGTGCATATATATCGTGAGTGTTGATATAAAATCTTTCTTCGAACCAACCTCCAAAAGCGCTTCCTTTCCAAACTCTTCCAGTGACCATCTGGAAAGGTCGGGTAGAAACCTCTGCACCACTAGGGGCCACACCGATGATCACTGATTCACCCCAACCTCGGTGAGCCGACTCCAGGGCTGCACGCTAGAAGATAAGAATGTATATTCATTAGCTTGATGGGATTATCAGACTTGTTACAAGGTTGTTCTTATGACTAACAAGTCTGCTACAGTCATGATATAACAAGAATGTTACAAGGTTGATGACACAAGGTTGTAACAATATTGTTACATCATGACTAGAGCCGGCCACGCTGGCTACATCATGACTGTATCGGACTTGTTGGAACAACCGTAGTTGAACAACCTTGCTGTCCCTACCACAAGTCTGATAATATCAACAAGGTTTTTACATTAGTTGTTAACAGCGTGTTCCAAACTTGTTGACAACTTGGGACAAGCAGTGCGAACACAACTTGTTGACGGCTTGTTGCCAGACTTGCTAAAAGATGTGAGATTTTTGCGTGTGTAGTAGAGGGCTCATCATTAAGGTTACAGGACACCCTTTTTGGCGTTTTGTGGAAAATCGTTACTGCGCGCTCAAAAATCAGTCCGATTTTCATCAAATTTTCACCAAATGTTAGGCAGTGCATGCAAAATATGGTAAAGTTGTAAAATTGAGAAACAATAAAATAATGTAAGAATTATTCAGGAAAATCTTAAGTCGCGGTTCCTTTACGCTTTTGAGTTATGTTCCGGCTGGTTTGAAGATATATTTATAAAAATATCATTTTTATACAGTAATTTATATTATACAGTAATGTATTTTATTAAATAATGCGAGTTTTCAACATTTTTCATCCAGACTTGGTACGATAGTAGAACTAGTCTAATGCTTTCATCTGGACCAATAAAAAAATTTTAGGCAAAATTAACACTCAAAGGTGTTCTGTAACTTTAACACAACCGGTACATAATTTCAATGGTCATTAGGTGGACCAGACTTTATTTTAAAACGGTCAGAATATTGGTTCTACCAGGCCGATTTTAACAAAATTAGTGTCAAAATTCATCTCTTAGTTTTTAATTTATTTTCGATGCCCGCACAAATATTATATTTTGGGCAGTGGGGGGCCCTGTATAGCACCTTGATATTTTCCCCAAAAGGAAGTCAATTACGACGAGTCTTATACCATATTCATATATAATAAACTCCATAACCGCATTTTTGTTGTTCTTGTTCAATGAGGCACGTTTATGACGTATGTCTTGTAAAAAGCGAATGGTCAAAATACTGAACGAAAAATGAAAGAAACGAAGGCAAAAATGTACATGTTAATTAGTCGTAAGACGACTTAACATCTTTACGAAAAAAATAGAATAAAATAACTCTGAACTGGCGACGTTTAACGAAATTCAAGTATAATGTTTTGATAATACAATAAAGACAAAGAAGCATATTTCTGTAACATGAAATTTCTTGCTTAAACTGGGTGATAGTACTGTTTAGCTTGCTTTAAGGAAGTAGACGTTTGGAATGTTGGATGTTCTATTGTTCTAGCTTGATTTAACAATATGAAATAAGCTATTCTATCATATTCCTCTCAGCTGTCGACCAGGGAACACCAAGTTTTAAAGAGCACAAATATAGCATAAAGTGTAAATAAAATGTTCGTCAAAGGATTACTGCTGTTCTGCTTTATTCACTTTTCGTATGCAGGTTAGTTTTAGTGATTATTTTTATGGGATCGTAAATTTAGTACGTTTAATTTTTGTTAGATACTGGCTGCTCTCGTACTTGACGAGGGATACATTTTATTAATTCAGAGTCACTTTTAGAGCTAGGTGACCTCCAAATGAAGACCTAAAACTCAGGGTTGAAGGTAGGACCATAGCAAAATGATTGAGGGTACTAAATAGGGTTTGGGTTACGTTTTGGTTTGTGGAACGTATTAAGAATGTCGTTTCTACCCTAGGCGTATGGTTTCATGTGGGCTATGCCTGTATAAGTGCGAAGGGCGACAGCTACCATGAAATGGCATATAGTGGACCGAGTTCTTTTGTTGGTGCTGCTAAATTGGTGCACACTACAGGTACGCAAAACGATTTGAGCTTAAAGCATGATGATTTTTTTGATGATGGTAATGTTACACATGTTGTGATTGCTCGATTGCGCTCCTACATCTGTCATCCTTGCTTTCCTGAAGTAATACCCTAGCGTCGATCTACAGTAGCAGGCTTAACTCAGCAGTAAGAAACAGCGCTCTAACCACATATGTCATCCTTGCTTTCCTGAAGTAATATCCTACCCTTGACCTACAGTAGCAGGCTTAACTCAGCGGTAAGAGACAACGCTCAAACAACATCTGTCACAGCGCTCTGATCACATCTGTCATCCTTGCTTTCCTAAAGCAATACCCTATACCCTCGATCTACAGTAGCAGGCTTAACTCAGCAGCAAGAGACAGCGCTCTAATCACATATGCCATCCTTGCTTTCCTAAAGTAATACCCTACCCTCGACCTAAAGTAGCAGGCTCAACTCAGCAGTAAGAGACAGCGCTCTAACCACATCTGTCATCCTTGCTTCTGTAAACTAATAATACCCTGTACCCTTGATCTACAGTAGCAGGCTTAACTCAGACGTAAGGGACAGCGCGCGTTAACCAGATCTGCCTTCACCCCCGCAGCACCGGGGGATATACCGTGCCTGCATTATAGTGATTAACGGCAGAGTATCCGAGTTTGGAGGTAGGTGCCGTTGGTGGCCAAGGCTAGTCGGCGATCTAGCCTTGTCGGGCAAATGACCGCAATGGCAAACATTAGGCAAAACACTGGCAAACATTTATGGCAAACTGGCAAA